ACTACAGGCGCCTGCCACCACGCCCGGCTAATTTTTTGTATTTTTAGTAGAGACAGGGTTTCACCGTGTTAACCAGGATGGTCTCAATCTCCTGACCTCGTGATCTGCCAGCCTCGGCCTCCCAGAGTGCTGAGATTACAGGTGTGAGCCACCGCGCCCGGCCCACCAGACTGCTTTCTTTCCCTAAACCAAATCTCCAGACCACACAGCTCAGACTTATTTGAGCTGTGGCTTAAAACTGATACCTCTTTCCAACTGGACTCTTACCTACAAACTTCTGGGGTGTGGAACGCTTGCGTTTGGTGAGGCTGTTGGCCAGACGATCAATGAAAGTTGGCCGCTCAGAGGATGAGTGCAGCATGGAGTCTGGCACCATCTCCAGGTCACGTATTTCGTCACCTAGTGGGAAGGAGGTGAGGACAAGTAGTAGCAGTTGAGTAGGGGTGGCATTGGCCCCACAGCCTTTCTCTGGAGAAAACCAGCAGGTCAGTAACCAAGGAAGGTCATACCAGATGCCTGGGAAACTGGGCTCTGTTTACCCTACCTAAAGCTCACTCCAGCAACATTTCAGATCATTTGGGGACAATCATACATATCTGGCCCTTGGTTACTTCTTGTGTTCTGTCTCTCCCATTAGGCCAAGGATATAGACCCAAACTTCCCCTACCTCTCGATCTCCCTAAAGCACCCACCACAGACAAGGCTCTGCACCAACTGGGGTACCTAGAATGGGGTGTTTGGCAGATTTACTGGGATAACCATCCCCTGTTCCACAGACTTCATCCCTCAGTGCGGGAGATACTGGAGTCACCCTTGTCCAGCACTCCCTCTCACCATCCCCTTTTAACTCCCCAGTAGTACATCAACAGCTCTACCTGGTTGGCCAGCCAAAGCTTGGGCTTCAGTGCTGAGACTCTGTAGGTAGTTATGGCACCGCTCCTTGTGCTCCTCCAGGGTACTCTGCTGTTTGTAGCTCCGGCCACAGTAGTTACACTTGTAGGGCTTACCCACTGTGGGAGAGGAGACTGGAGGAGAGCGGAAAGATGGCATCAGAGCTACTTCTCGCTGTGCCCTGGCTCTGCAGATTCAGCCAAGAGCAAGTATACACTGGCATGGGGAGGAAAGGATGTTGCTAAATTGAGTTCTTCTGCTTGTCTTTCATTCCCCAGCTTCAGCTGCAACCATGAACAGATGAACCATATTTGATGATGAGGGATAATGTGCAGTTGTGGGAGCAAGGGAATCCTAGAGCATGTGGCTTCAGACTGGTGGTGGGCTTGTTCAACATGGCCAAATTGCTGCTCAAAAGCAGTGAGGACCCAGGGACTTTGTAGGGGATCATCCCTAGCAGGCAGGCAGGCCCCACTGCAGGATCTCAGAGACTGGGGCCCAGACTGTGGTTTAACCTTTCCATTTGGCAGGCGGATGTAAGTGCTGTTTATCAGACAAGGGGATTTTTTGCTTTTTATGAACTATCTGCTTTGGTTTGGGGGAAACTGGTGGGCTGGCATGACAGAAATGAGAGCCCTTAGATCTGCCAATGTGGGGAGGGGGCAGTTTTCATTGACCTTTACTTGTATTTTGACCTCCAGCCCTAGCCTGGTTTACTGATTATTTTGTCTTTCTGTCTCTCTACACTGAGATACCAAGAGAGCTCTAGAAAGCCCATCACTGATGGAGTAATTCTGAAAAGAGAAAAGGAATAAAAGAACAGAGAATAAAATAAACAAGAGTAAAAAAAAGAGAACACCAAATTTGGGTTGTTTTGTTTGTGTGCTTATAATAAAAGAACAGGTTATAAAGATCTTGTTTCTACTGAAGAAAAAAAAATTGGAAAACAGAGTGGTAGTTTATTTAAAGATAACTCTTAAGACATATTTGTGAGAGGAGAGAAACAAGGTATTGTATATTTGATGTATCTTGCTGCTATTGAGCAGGGAGACAGGAGAAGGTATCTCTAGGAAGTTGGTAATTACTGTTCACCCCTAACCCTGCCATGCCAAAACTGGGCCTTGACTAAATCAACCTACTTCATTTTACTCAGGCTCTGTAAACCCTTGTATTTTAGGGATGAAATGAACACCATGAATCCCAGTACTTTGGGAGGCCGAGGCGGGCGGATCACGAGGTCAGGAGATTGAGACCATCCTGGCTAACATGGTGAAACCCCATCTCTACCAAAAACACAAAAAATTAAGCTGGGCATTATGGCAGGCGCCTGTAGTCCCAGCTACTCGGCAGGAGAATGGAGTGAACCCGGGAGGCGGAGGTTGCAGTGAGTCGAGATCACACCACTGCACTCCAGCCTGGGCGACAGATAGAGACTCTGTCTCAAAAAAAAAAAAAAAAAGAAATGAACACCATGGTCCCTGTCCACCCAAAGACCCTTGGGGAAACGGTTTAACATCTGGGAGAGGAATGATCCTCCAACTGCTTTCTTATTTTTCAAATTTTAATTGATAATTGATACATAATAATTATACATGCTTATGAGATACATATGATATTTTCATACATGTACACGATGTGTAATGATCAAATTGGGGTAACTGGCATATCTGTCACCTCAAACATTTATCTTTTTTTCTTCTTTTTCTTGGAGACAGAGTCTCACTCTGTCGCCCAGGCTGGAGTGCAGTGGCACAATCTCGGTTCACTGCAACCTCCACCTCCTGGGTTCGCGCCATTCTCCTGCCTCAGCCTCCCGAGTAGCTGGGACTACAGGCGCCTGACACCATGCCCAGCTAATTTTTTACATTTTCAGTAGAGACAGGTTTTCACCGTGTTAGCCAGGATGGTCTTGATCTCCTGACCTCATGATCCATCTGCCTTGGCCTCTCAAAGTGCTGGGATTACAGGCATGAGCCACCGTGCCCGGCAAACATTTATCATTTCTTTGTGTTGGGAACATTCAAAATCATCTCTTCTAGCTATTTTGAAATATACAATAAATTAATGTTAACTACAGTCATTCTACTATGGTGTAGAACACTACAACTTATTCCTCCTATCTAACTGTAATCTTCTACCCATTAACCAGCCTCTCCCTGTCCACCCACTCCCAACCCTTCTCAGTCAGCCTCTGGTAACCACTGTTCTACTCTCTACTTTTTTTTTTTTTTTTTTGAGATGGAGTTTTGCCCTAGTTGCCCAGGCTGGAGTGCAATGGCATGATCTTGGCTCACTACAACCTCTGCCTTCTGGGCTGAAGTGATTTTCCTGTCTCAGCCTCCTGAGTAGCGATGATTACAGGCATGCGCCACCATGCCTGGCTAATTTTGTATTTTTAGTAGAAACGGGGTTTCTCCATGTTGGTCAGGCTGGTCTCGAACTCCTGACCTCAGGTGATCCACCCGCCTCGGCCTCCCAAAGTGCTGGGATTACAGGCATGAGCCACCGTGCCTGGCCTTTTTTTTTTCCCCCCCCAAGAAGGGGTCTCACTCTGTCACCCAGGCTGGAGTACAATGACATGATCACAGGTCACTGTAGTCTTGACCTCCCAGGTTCAAGTGATCCTCCCTGTCTCAGCGTCCTGAGTAGCTGGGACTACAGGTGTGTGCCACCACACCTGGCTAACTTTTTGTTTGTAATAGAGACAGAGTCTCACTACGTTGCCCTGGTTGGTCTCAAACTCCTGGGCTCAAGTGGTCCACCTGCCTTGGCTTCCCCGAGTGCTGGGATTATAGACGTGAGCCACTGCGCCCAGCCTACTCCATACTTCTATGGGATCGACATTTTTAGCTCCCACAAGAGTGAGAACATGCATCCAGTCTCTTTTTTCTTATAATAGGGGTTGCAACAGAAAGCACTTCACAGAGATGGGACCTGACAGTATATCTGTGTCTGCTTCTGTTGTTAATAATCTACAGATCAAAATCCAAAATCTACCCAGTTGACCTCACAGCATAGTTGGTAAGAATTCTAGGGGCCAAGCCATCCTTGTTCCAAACCAGCAGGAGGAGCAGCCCCTTTTATGAGGAAAAGGAGTACGTATTTCTGGCACTGGAGCTTGATGGGGTTCCAGCTAGGCTGCAGAATAGCTATGTGACCCACAACTCATTTCCCCCCCAACAGCTTCATTTCCCTTGTCAACAAAATGGGGATAATCACATCTACCTTGGAATTGTTATGAGGGTCACATGAAGAAACATAAGTGAAATGCTCTGTAGATATAAAGCATGAATCAACGATGATCTTTCTCCCTGTTTCTCCACATACATAGAGACAAAGAGGTCCCAATTACAAGGTGGGAGAACCTGAAACAAGGTAAGTGGATGGAGAAAGTAGAAGGTAGTGAAATGATTGCTCTGTCCTTTTAAATCCTGGCTCAGGAGAGTTTAAGAAAAGAGAAAAATAGCCAGGAAAGTTTCCAAGGACAGACCCTACTAATTCTTTCCCCTTTCCTTTCTTCCTGCCTTTTCCCAATCTTGAGCTCCTTCCTTCTTGCCAGCTCAGCTCCTGGCCTCTTCCCAAGTCCAAGCCAAAAGCCTAAAGCTTAGTAAAATGCCTAAAAAGTGCTATCTGTCCAGCTGATTCAGACAGATATTGATTCAAACAGTCTTGACTGGGCTAGAAAACCTTGTTAATCCAGTTTCCCAGCACTGTTCCAAACATTGATCTCTAGGCACCCTCTGGACTTTCTCTTGCCTCTGGGAAGGTGACAACCTCTTGGGATAGGGAACAGAAATAGGATACTCTTTTCCTATTTGGAAGTCCTAGGCTCCCTTTTTTGCAATTTGAGAGGCCCATGGATATTTCCAGGAGCCAGTAGGAAGTAAAGGAGAGGACAGACTGGTTGCCCAAGACCTCTGGTGGTGTGGGAGGAAGGAGGGTGAAGATGACGACAGGTGTGGGGCCTGGGGCAGATGGGAGTGAGAGGAGGGATCTCCCAGGGGCTTAGATGTTGGGGGTAATAGGGCATGGATTGTGGCATCAACAATCTAAAATACAAAAGTCAGGGAAGGCCAGGCACAGTGGCTTATGCCACGCCTGTAATCCCAGTACTCTGGGAGGCTGAGGCAGGCCGATTGCTTGAGATCAAGAGTTCAAGACAAGCCTGGGCAGCATAGGGAGATCCTGTCTCTACGAAAAAATACAAAAATTAGTTGGGTGTGGTGGCATGTGTGGTCCCACCTACTCAGGAAGCTGAGGTGGGAGGATGGCTTGAGCTCAGGAGATCAAGTCTGCAGTGAGCCAAAATTGCGCCACTACACTCCAGTCTGGGCAACAGCGTGAGACCCCGTCTTGAAAAAAAAAAAAAAAACAAAAGTCAGGGAAGGGTGACTGTTAACAGCCAAGAACATTGCCCCTATTCCTTTTGCTGCAAGTCACAGAATATGGTGGATGTAAAATACCCCATCAAGGTGTCTCCCAAATTTCCCATGAGGCCTTGCTGCCCAGAGGATGGGTGAGAGAGGCAGGGGGCCCTATCTGCTCTGTAAATACTCTCCCCTCCTCAATGACAGACACCGTAACTCCCCAAATACCAGAGAAGTCACTGAGCTCTACATACTGGGTGTGTTGGAGCCTCATTCTCTCATCCCACTGGATAGTCACTGACCTGAGTGTGTGCGGAGGTGACCAGTGAGTGCATCACGCCGGCGGCAGGCATAGTTGCAGAAGGGACATTTAAAGGGCTTCTCCCCGGAATGCAGCTTGATGTGGCGCAGCAGGTTCCCCTTCTGGGTGAAGGAGGCACCACACTGGTTGCAATGGAAGGGCCTTTCACCTGCAAGTGAAAGAACAAATCCCAGAGGACTGCATGTGAGGAACTTGGAAGGCTGAACCTGTCGCCCCACCCTCTGTCCTACCTTGCCCAAGGGAAGGTGCTCTAAACACACTGCTGACTGGCAGAAGTGCAATGCACACAAACCCTGCTTTATCAAGATCCCTTGGGGATCCCTTGGGTCTTACTGTGGGGAAGGTGTGGATTAGAAGTGTGTGGCAGGGAGAGGGGCCTGGAACACTAGGCCAAAAGACTGTTACCAAAAACTGAGCCCCACAGGGCCCACTCTGCCCTAGGAGCCCAAGGCCTGAGGAAGCTGAGAAGAGAAGGCTTTTGTTTTCTGGTTTTTTTTTTTTGATTATTAGATGGAGGGCCCAAAGAATACCCAGGAGTCTAACCCCTATTGGACCACTGGCTCATTCTTGAGTTTACACTTTCCCCTCCCTCATATACTGAGAAAAATATCAGCTTTTCTTTATAACAGCAGTTGAGTAAAGTGCCAGGAAACTACAGGTATTGAGGGGAACTAAATTCTGCACCCACCCCCACCCTGCCTCGTTTTGTCAGCTAGAAAATGTGCTGGGTGAGACCCTTCCCTTTCTGAGGCTACCCACTCCCTGCATGGCCTCCTCTAGCCCCATCCCTGCTGTTGTCCCAGCACTGCCCCTGCCTCTCAACCCCACCCTGGGAGCTCCTCCCAGAGACCCTCTGGCTTACTTACCAGTGTGGCTGCGCTTGTGCACCATGAGCACGTTGGGTCCAATACAGACCATACCGCAAACGTCACACTTGAGCTTGCCATTAGGCAGCCGGATGCCCCCAGGGGAGTGAGGCTCTGGCCCACTCCCATCACAGTAGCCCAAGGGCTCAGACAATGAATCTTCCACAATCACACTGTCGTCCTTTTCCAGGAGCCGCTCATCTGGCCCCAGCAGTCTGCTCGACTCCTCATCGCTGTACATCTCCACCTTGATGGAGTTGGCTGAGGGGTGGGATGGTGTTTAGAATAGAGAGAGGCAAAGGGGGAAGCTGCTCCCAGGCCAGAATGGCACTTTTTTTTTTTTTTTTTTTTTTTTGAGATGGAGTTTCGCTCTTGTTGTCCAGGCTGGAGTGCAATGGTGCAATCTCGGCTCACTGCAACCTCTGCCTCCTGGATTCAAGTGATTCTCCTGCCTCAGCCTCCCGAGTAGCTGGGATTACAGGCATGCGCCACCATGCCCAGCTAATTTTGTATTTTTAGTAGAGATGGGGTTTCTCCGTGTTGGTCAGGATGGTCTCAAACTCCCAACCTCAGGTGATCTGCCCACCTTGGCCTCCCAAGTGCTGGGATTACAGGTGTGAGCCACTGCGCCTGGCCCAGAATGGCACTCTTAAAGTTTAAGAGGGTGTCTTTAGGCCCTGAGACATTCAAGCCTTAAGTGGAACTAACACCCTAGTATCCCTGCTGCTGCTATCAGAATCCTGCTGGAATCTGAGACAACTTTTTCTCCCACCCACCAGGCAAATAAGCTTCAAGAGAAAAAAGTTGGGCCAGGTGTGGTGGCTCACGCCTATAATCCCAGCACTTTGGGAGGCGGAGGCGGTGGATTCTTTTGAGGTCAGGCGTTTGAGAGCAGCCTGGCCAACATGGTGAAACACTGTCTTTACTAAAAATACAAAAATTAGCCAGGCATGGTTGTGTATGCCTGTAATCCCAGCTACTTTGGAGGCTGAGGCAGGAGAACTGCTTGAATTCGGGAGGCAGAGGTTGCAGTGAGCCGAGATCGCACCACTGCACTCCAGCCTGGGTGACAGAGCAAGACTCTGTCTCAAAAAGTAAAAAGTTGGGGGTACATAGGATGTCTTCTGTCACTGAGGCGAGGAGGCGACTAAGGGGAGCTTTTTTCTCTACTCTCTTGTCATTAAGAAAGATGTCTGGCTTGGCCCTGGGCAGGAAGCCAGCAAGTTAAGAGTGGCGGGAAAACGGACCTAGGAAGAGTGAAGGGGGACAACAGGCCAAAGAGCAAAACTGGAAGACAGACGTGCTTACAGTTCCCTCCCACCCCATTAGACTGAACCCCTCTACCCTCTCCACCTCCATAAAACTCTGAGGCAGGGCAGGAGGGATAAAGGAAGGAGGAACCATTGAGGAGAAGGCTTTGGCTCTAGCTCCGACCTACATTCCTGGCTATTCCAACCATTTAGAGAATGTCACAGATCTAGGGCCAGCTGGGGAGGAGCAGTCATGGGGACCCTGTCTGGGTAGGAGAATGGGCTGTGGGGAGATGGGGAGGTCCTTCTACTCTCTCTTTCCTATCTAACTCCACCTGATGACCATTTCTATCTACCTGCTTCTCTAATTCCATAATTTCTCTTTGAAACCTTTACCTTAATCCCACCTATACCTCTTTTAATTCCACCCTAGTCTGCCAGTGACTATTCACTGTCCTTTCAGAAGCCAGAAAAACCCTAGACACTGGTCTCCTTATTGCTCTTACAGACTAAGCAGGAGACCAGTAGGAGGTGACGACGGGGAAATGGTTGCCAGTGGAAGGTGAACTGAAGGCCAAACGCAAAAGGGTGTGCCTACTGCCAGGAGGTGGTAGGAGGTTACACTTACCGCTGAGTGAGCGGCTGGGAGAAGAGTGCTGGCTGTTGGGGGTGCTCACCGAGGGCCCCACTGGGGCCCCGAGGAACTCCTTCTCCAGAGATGAGTCCCCGCTACCTTGGAGGAGAGAACAAGAGGGCAGGTAAAGCTGGAGCTGGAGTTATCTACTGTCCATTGCCTAATCTTTTTAAAAAAATTCAGTTAAATTTCAAAAATATTTCCTTCATAGCCATGTACAAGGCAGTGTTGTATGCTGGGCACCATACCTTGCACCCCCACCAGTCTGGATGCCTGGTGCTGCCTTCCGTGAGCTCAGTGGCTGGGCCTTGCCTACCCTACCTTTATCTAGGCCTGAGGGGAAGAGCATCACTGCCTGACGTCCACAGGAAGCCGGGCTGGGGCTGGGCGTGCCAGGGTGGAGAGAAAAATGGGGGCTGCAGAAGGGACAGATGTTCAGGACAGACATTCTTCCCTATTGGTCCTCTCCGGAGCCCCCAGCCAGGTTCAGGATCTCCAGGAAAGGCAACTGGAATTGTCCCTGAATCTAATGATAATATTAGTAATCATCATAGCAGCTAATGATATTAATTGAATACTTACTATGTGCCAGGCTTTATTCTATGCACTTGAAATGAATAATTTCATTTAATCTTCACAACAACTATATGAAGTAGGTGCTAATATCATTTTTTCAGATGAGGCAACTGAGGTACAAAAGAGGTTATGTTACTTGTCTAAGGTTACATAGCTGCTAGTGTGGAACTGGGATCATAGACAATAAGTGTCCATGTCCTTCACCACCACCTACCCAGCCAGTTGGGGGTCACCATCTTAGTAGGGAAGAATTGGGCCCTTTAGACTTTCTAAATTCAGCAAAAATTTGATTACTCCAGAAAATCTCCTATTGATCTGATTCCAATCACATGTTTACTATTTGATGTCCACTGACTGTTAAGTGATCAATTTATTCTCAGTATATTTGTTTTAATTTTTTGATAAATTGCTTTGTAAAAATGCTTTTTGAGGCTTTCATAATGTTTTTTGAAATCAGATAACATACCTAAAGAAAGATATGAATGTCTTTCTAAAAAAAATCCCTCCTCCCCGCAATCTTCTGCACAAATACATAGGTGAAATAAAAATACATGTAGATAAACACACACAGAGACACAGCACATATGTAGATACATATAAAGAGAACATACCTATTGGGATAAACATACTGGTAGCCTTCTACATTATCTGCTAACATGAACATGCATGGATGTGTGCACACAGGCCTAAATATGGAAGAGAGAGAGCGAGAAAGAGCAAGAGAGAGTGCAAGAGAGAGAGAGGAAGCCTAAAATTCATCCCTGAAGTCCACCTATTAGTACTTTACCCAATTGCCCAGCTATGTACATACTTACTTTCACAAAATAAAGATTCCATTATAAAATGGTTGGAGTCTTGGGCCTGAGGCAAGAAATCCGGAACACACCCTCCTGAGGGATCCCTCTCCAGCTTTGGTCAGTGGGAAGAAAACAACCACTCAGGACTTTGGGACCATTTCTCATTCATATCCTCTCCTAAAGTCCCATTTTCCCCATTTATCCCGTCAAAGCCTGAGGAAATTTGTTCACTATCTATAGAAAAAGCCTTATGGCTTGAAGCGGAGTTTTCCCAGCTGGGGATCTTTAGGTGAGCCATGGTTACCTGAAAATGTTGCCTAAAATTGGAACCACACACATATCATGAAGTGAGCATCTCAGGATTGTGGGTTGAGATTTGTAGACTCAGAGCCAGTTTTAAATATGTCCTTTCAACTAAGTGTAGGGTTTACTAGGGTTAGAAGGGCTGAAAAGGGTATCTTCTTATTCCCTTTATTAGTGCTGACTTGCCCTAAATCATGATGTTACTAATCAGGGAAGAACAGGGCACTTAGTTTTGAGGCCTTGACCCTAAAAGGATGAGTGAACTTGTTGGAAATCCATCGCTGGTCCCAGCTTATTCAGCTGAGGCTGCCTCTTGAGGCCAGGGACTTGCTATATGGAGGAAAATATATTTAAAGGTACACTTAGAAACACTGAGGGGAAAGTATCCTTTGTGGCTTTCCCAATTAAGGCCCAGAAGCAGGAAGAGGAGCAGGAGTCATACCAGTAATTCAAGAGGCTCTTTGATGCTATTGCCCTCCCTAAGATTAAGGTAAGGGGCCGGGCGCGGTGGCTCAAGCCTGTAATCCCAGCACTTTGGGAGGCCGAGACGGGTGGATCATGAGTTCAGGAGATCGAGACCATCCTGGCTAACACGGTGAAACCCCGTCTCTACTAAAAAAATACATAGAAATAATTTTTAATAGGAAGAAAAAAGGGGGCCGGGGGCGGTGGCTCAAGCCTGTAATCCCAGCACTTTGGGAGGCCGAGACGGGCGGAT